ACTAATAGGCCTTAAACACTAGACTGCAAAACATAGCAGCGTACCCTCAACTATAGAAAAAAAAAAAAACAAAAAAAAAAACTAGCTAATTGTACGCGTAAATAAACCATCAACCGATAGTTATTATTGAACAAATTAATTCAAGTGTACATACCGTATCAACAGTGGCACATCCCCAACGACACATTGTACTTGCTTGGTTTACAATTTATTTAAGAAGCAAATTACAGGCCTAAGCCCCCACCTCATTTGTCTGCTACCATTCGTTGTTGCTATGGGTTGTCGGTGGACGCCCGATGTATGTGTAAATATTGAGCGAGTATTGACTAACAACAATGGGCTTATTGTTAAACTAATAGGCCTTAAACACTAGACTGCAAACAAAGAAGCGTACCCTAAATTATATATAAAAAAAAAACAACTAGCTAGGCACTATCTACCGGTACTAATTGTACGCGTAAATAAACCATCAACCGATAGTTATTATTGAACAAATTAATTTAAGTGTACATACCGTATCAACAGTGGCACATCCCCAACGACACATTGTACTTGCTTGGTTTACAATTTATTTAAAAGAAGCAAATTACAGGCCAGCCCCCACCTCATTTGCCTGCTACCATTCGTTGTTGCTATGAGTTGTCGGCGGACGCCCGATGTATGTGTAAATATTGAGCGAGTATTGACTAACAACAACGGGCTTATTGAATGCTTATTTAATCACAGTTTAACCCTGGATGGTGTCAAAGAGAGAAACTATTCATTTTTTAGCGTTTTACTTTCAGTATTTACCTATTTCATATATCTCTGCTACAGTCAAATGCCTTGTCAATGCTATAAAATTGTATTTACAAAAACAGGTGACATGCCTATATATAGGAACATCATGTATATATAATTACTAATATATTTTAGTTATACATTTTAAATTGTGTAAAGCGCATTGAGGCCTCTCCATATATTATCGCTATGAAAGAAATGTATTGTACATTTCGCTTGTGTCCTTGAGCAAGGCACTTTATCTGCATTGCTTCTCTCCACTTAGGAATATAAATGGGTACCTGGTGGGGTTGCCTGCTACTGCGACAATATGGCAGCAACACTTAAGCATGTGGACCCAATGACCAGGGAAAACAAATCGCTTTGTAACCTAACGGAATAGGCGCTTTATGAATTCTAAAATAACAAATAACAAATAACAAAATGAAAATCAGATAAATTTCCCCCAAAATTTAGCTAATAAATATTTATCTTATACATACATAGAATGACATGTTCACTCAAATTGTAATAATAGCCGAGTTTTTGAGTGATAGGTCTACTAATGTGTAAATCAGTATCATACAAATCGTAATAGATTGCCGAGTTTTCGGATCGGAGGCCTACCGAACCGATAAGAAATCGAATTTGACGGAAACCCGGTCCGAATTTGGGTTCGAATCAGATGCGAGTCCAGCTACTCATAGTATCAATGGCATAAAATTGCATCATAAAATTTCAATTATCAGATTCAGATTTAGATTATTCTTTATTGTCATAACGATATCATGAGATTTGTTTTCCTTGTTACATTAAAAAAAAAAAATACCACAAGATATAGAAAAAGTTAGTTAAATATATATCAAACACATACAAAAGTTAATGCACAAAAACAAGGATGAGTTACAATAAATATATAAAAATATGTATGTATTTTATGAATGTATATGTATTTTAAATGCATCGTTTTATACAGTACGTATTTTAAAATATATCTCTATATTTATAAGGCGTCCTGTGAAATCATGAGAAGCGTTCCCGTCACGGCCCTGCTTTAACCGATTGTACCACCACCACGCACAAAAAGAAATATAAAGACTTCAAATAACATGCCTAAATATAAAAGGAGTGGATTCAACCACAAGGTATGTCTAACTATATGTCTGGGCAAAATGTACACGGACTCTATAAGAAGGTGTCCTGTAATTGGCAAACGGCTTTTGGATGTATTTGTGAAATAAAATAAAGGAAAATAAAATTAATATGTTTATATTTATTCTTCTACATTTATATGATTTAAAAATTATTTTTATACAATGTTATAGGGTCAAAGAGGGCAGCCACGTCTTGCCATTTGAAAAGGTACCCTCATCTTTACCTCCAGTCACCAACATAAAAATTACACATACCATCGCTTCTACATATTTTATAATTATGGAACTATAATAGGCCTATATTATGGTAGCTATATTACGTTTGTTCTGATTAATAGACCGTTCACTGTAGGACGATACAGGCACGTTGCGATGACTCAAATCATCCCGTTAGTTCCTATAGTGTTTTCACTTCTTGTAAAATATGGTAAGATTTATATATTTTTTTTCATTTAGTACAATTCATGGCACCTTTTAGCAATTTTTTTGGGTTGATTTAAGCCTACCGGACAGGGTATCTAGCAATGTTAACGGAGATCAACAGGGTCTCTATGGGGAAGCCACAGGGGCACACGAGCGAGGCACGGACCTGCATCTAAGTCCTAATTCGAGAAAACTTTGTCGTGCCAACCGAAATGCCTTGATCGAGAGCCAATAATAAATGGCTATATATTGGAAAAATACAAAGATAAAGGAAAAAGCAATAAATAAAGATGACGTTGTAATGTAGTTCTACTCTAGTAACTTCAATAATAATAAAACTAATAATAATAATAATAATAATAATAATAATAATAATAATAATAATAATCATGATGGTTATGATGATAATAATAATAATAATATAATAATAATATTAATAATAATAATAATATTAATAATATTAATATCATTTGCTTTTAGGTCAACCTTTAGAATGTAAAATAAAAGAGTCTGTCGTCAACAGGCCTGTGATTTCAAGTAATTGCTACCGAAAGTGCGAATACCCGCCTAAACCAATGATATGCGAGTACGACCTAAATGTTGAATGGATCCAGACAATGTCAGGTCATTGTGGGGACTGTCCGCTAAAGAAAGAAGACTGTAATCTCGAAAAGTGTGTACCTGTTGACGGGTCTTCAAGACCTGCGGCCGTTGTAAATGGCACATTTCCCGGACCGAGCATTCAGGTAATATTTTGGAGAAAAACAACATTACTAAAATAAGTTGATATTTAGATCTAAAATTATTAACGTCGTTTTAATACACTATGTAAGATGCATTTAAATATAGTTTACTTACATTGAGTACCCTTACATTTCATTTTTTGGTTAAAAAATATTACAAAAGTGCATGTTGAAAGTTATTAAAACAAACTTTACGAGTATAGCATTGTGCCCAAAACTATAATATCTAAACTAGTGGATTAAATCATCGTCATCGTCGTCATCATAAATAATCATCATCGTAATCATCATAATTAAAAGTCAAGCTCAAAAATTAGAAATTGTGCAACAGAGATTTTTGAAATTTGTTTGTAAATCGTGTAATGTCAATCGTAATACTATTAACTTACCCAGCTTATGTCAACGTAGGAGTTACTTGGACTGCATATTTCTTTTTAAATGCATGAAGGGATTATTTGGTCCTCATCTTCTTTCTTTATTTGGTTTTTCTGTTAAAAGTAAACGTTCTCGTCAAGCCTCGGTCAACTTATTCCATATTCCATTTTCCCGAACCAATATTTTTAAAAACGGATTTATTTGTAGATTATCTAGAATTTTTAACTCACTTATTTTGTAAGATCCGACAATTGATATGTTTTTTAATAGTTTGAATATTTTTAAGTATAAAATTAAGAAATGTCTTGTATAAGTGTTCTTGATGTTTTCCGTACGGTGTTTATTGTGTTTTATGTATTCCATTCTGTAAGTGGCGGGCTCCCCGCTGTCGAATGGGAATTAAAATAAAATAAAATAAAATAAATCATCGTCATCGTTATCATGATTTTTATTATTATTATTATTATTATTATTATTATTATTATTATTATTATTATTATTATTATTATTATTATCATCATCATTATTATTATTATTATAATATTACAGTATACCTATTGTTATTATTTGAATGGATTGGAGTAAACATCTTGAACTTTAAATTT